AGAGAGAATGACTCTAGATGATGCAATCTAGGTTGGATATTCTAACTGGAATGCTTAAAATTTTATAATGTTTTATAAAATAATAAATAACTATTGTAGCTTTTAAAGCAGAGAAATAAAAAATCATATATATATACATATATATACACACACACATATATATGAGAGAGAGAGAGAGAGTAAAAACCCTCTGTAAGTAATGTGGAAGACAGAATAGAAAGAATAGAGACTAGAAATAGGTAGCCCATTTTAGAGAGTAATGCATTAGCTCAAAAGCAATCATAACAGTCAAAATTGTAGTAATAATAATGAGCAGACATTAAAGGCTGGATGGGAGAAATTTTAAATAAAATTCATAGTGCTTACTATAAAATTATGTTTACCCTGAAGTTTACAAATCTAGATGGACATAAATTACACTCAAAAGATAAATCATGGGGAAAGAAAATATGAGTAGGGAGAAAGATGGAGGTTTTGTTGTTGGGGAGATAGCAACTTTATCTAAAGTTTAAAGTATTTGAGAGACTTACAGTAAAACACTCTAAGCAGTCAAAAGTGGAAGAGAGTCTATATCTCTGTACAAATTTGAAGCCATAAGTATAGGTGCTATATGAGGGGGACCCCCCCAAAAAAACAGAAATATCTTTTGGAAGGCAGTCCCCTTTAATGCAGGCTTCACCTACAAGTTAAGTATTCTAGGAACCAGCTAACTTTGTTGTGAGAAAGCTGTGTTTGGCTTCAGTGAAAATTTTTAGGAGTTTCTCTCAACACATTTGCCCACTTCTTGCTGGGTGATTTATGAGCACACTTTCCCATACTGTGCTGAGTGCTCAACAGTTTTTGACCCAAACCTGCATGACCCCCATGCCCCACTCTCCCTAAAACCCCATCTCACCCTGAGTGACTTTTTTTGTTGTTTCTCAGGATGAAAAAGGTCCTCTAAGGTAAATGTTTCACCAAGATGGAAGAGGTAAAACAGAAAACAGCAGAAGCACTAATAGGCATCAAGGTTGATGAGTTCAAACTGTTTTGAGCAGTGGAAAAGCAGTTTGGTAGATGTATTGCATCCAATAGAGAGTACTTTGAAGGTGACTGAAGTTTAAACCTGTAAGAATAAATACACAGTTTTTAAATAAATAAATTTGAGCCTTTTGGGGGTCCCCCTTCATATCGCCAAGAACAAACTATAATAAAAGAATGAGATGACAAAAGAAGAGTAAAAGAAAGTGCAAAAAAGAAGGAAGAAAGAGAGAGAAGGGAAAGGTCTAAGAGGTGTAGGATTCTAGCAGTTCAAAGGTCAGAACATGAGGCGGAGTCTGTAGGAAACTGGGCTAGTGTGAGGAAACACACCACCATGGACAGGGCCGCCATGGATCTGCTGAGTCGAGTTGAAAATGAAAATGAAGGCCCATTTGTTCAAACAAGCAGAAAAAGTACCATTAAAGGTACTAAAATATAAAGCTTTTTAAATATTAGCACATGTACTACCACCGTTCACCTTTAAATTGTGCAAGGCCATTTTCAATGACACATATGGGAGGATATAACTATTAGGAGGAAGCATCAAAATTATATAATTTATATTTCATAGCTCTTACATGCTTTTTTTAAACCTATTTTTAATTTTAAAATTGTGGAGTACAGTTAAGGGTTATGTATACAAGTATGCACTATGCAGGTACCCTTATTAATGAGATGTGCCCCCGCATCCCCAGACAGATATTGACTACAGCTAATCCCACCTCCCTTCCCCTCCCTGCCCCCCCATAGTTTCACGCCACTGTCAATCCTTTTCTTATAGTATTATGATAGTTGTTCAAGGACCACTTATGAGTGAGAACATGTGATACTTAAATCTTATGTTTCTGTGAGAGGTCACTCAGTATTATAAATACCACTTCCATCCAGGTTGCTGCGAAATTCATGATTTTGTTCTTTTTTGTGGCTGTGTAATATTCCATGTGTATATGTACCATATTTTTAAAAGTGAGTCTTCTTTTGATGGACAGCATGGTTGGTTCCATGATCTTGCTATTGCAAACAATGCTGTGATAAACATACGTGTGCAGGTATCTTTTTTATAGAGTGATTTGAGTTCTTCAGGGTATATTCCCAGTAGGGGGATTGCAGGGTCATATGGAAGGTTGATTTTTAGAGGCTGTACTAGTTTATACTCCCACCAACACTGTAAAAGTATTCCCTTTTCACCACATCCTCTCCAAAATCTGTTATTTTTTGGGTTGTTGATAATGGTCATTCTGACGGGAGTTAGGTGGTATCTCAGTGTAGTTTTAATTTGCATCTCCTTGATGATTAGTGAGGTTGAACATTTCTTCATGTGTCTGTTGGACACTCATATGTCTTCTTTTGAGAAATGTCTGTTCATACCTTTTGCCCACTTTGTAATGGGGTTGTTTGTTTTTTTCTTTTCAGCACATTTGAGTTCCTTGTAGATACAAAATGTTAGGCTTTTGTAGACATGGAGTTGGCAAATACTTTTTCCCAGTCTGTGGGCTGTCTCCCTGCTTTCTTGATGATTTCTTTGGCTTTGCAGAGGTTTGTCAGTTTAATGAGGTCCCACTTGTCTATCTTATCTCTTATTTCTTATGTGTGTTTTGGATTTTGTTCAGGAATTGGAGGCCAGTTCCAATTTTCATAAGGGTGTGTCATGCATTTCCAAGGTTCTTATGGTTTGAGGGTTGCATTTAGGTCTCTGATCCATTTGGAGTTAATTTCTGTGTATGGGGATAGATAGGGGTCTTGTTTGAGTCTTCTGCATGTGGTCAGCCAGTTTTCCCAGCACCATTTCTTGAAAAGCTTCTCCTCTCCCCAGTAGTAGGTGGTGGAGGCTTTGTCGAAGATGAGTTGGGTGAGAAATTGAGGTTTTGCTTCTGAAATCTCAATTCTATTCCATTGGCCTATATGTCTGTTCCTGTACCAATACCAAGCTGTTTTGATTATTGTAGCTTTATAGTAAAGTTTGAAGTCTGGTAATGTGATACCTCCTGCTTTGCTTTTTTTGCTGAGGATTGTTCTGGCTATTCTTGGTTGTTTGTGCTTCCATATGAATTCCTGTATTGTTTTTTCTAGGTTTGAGAAGAATGTTGCTGGTAATTTGGTGAGTATTGCATTACATCTGTAGATTGCCTTGGGTAAGATGGCCATCTTCACAATGTTGATTCTTCCAATCCATGAGCATGGGATATTTTTCCACTTGTTTGTGTCATCTTTGATTTCTTTGAGCAGTGTTTTGTAGTTTTCATTGTTAAGGTCTTTCATGTTTCTGGTTAGGAAGATGCCAAGGTATTTCAATCTTTTTGTGGCTATTGTGAATGGAATTGTGCTTTTTATTTGGGTTTCTGTTTGTTTAGTATTGGTGTAAAGAAATGTGATTGTCTTTTGCACATTTATTTTATACCTTGAGACTTTGCCAACGTTTTTTATCAGTGCAAGGAGGTTTTTGACAGATTCTCTTGGATTTTCAAGGAATACAATCATGTCATCTGCAAAGAGAGATAGCTTGATTTCCTCATTCCCTATTTGGATACCCCTGATTGCCTTCTCTTCTCTGATGGCTCTAGCCAGGACTTCCAATACTAGACTGAACAGGAGGAGTGAGAGTGGGCATACTTGTCTTGTTCCAGTTTTCAAGGAAAATGGTCTAATTTTTGTCCATTTAGGAGTATGCTGGCTGTGGGTTTCTCATAGATGGCTTTTACTATTTTGAGGTATGTTCCACGTATGCCTAGATGTTTGAGGGTTTTTATCAAGAAGCGGTGCTGGATTTTGTCAAAAGCATTTTCTACATCTAATGATATAATCATGTGGTTTTTGTTTTGACATCTGTTGATGTATTTAATTACATTTATGGTTTTACGAAAATAGAACCAGCCTTGTGTCCCAGGGATGAAACCTACTTGGTCGAGATGGATGATTTTAGATGTGCTGTTGAATCCAGTTTGCTAGAATCTTGTTGAGAATTTTAGCATCTATATTCATCAAAGATATTGGCCTGTAGTTCTCTTTCTTTGTTGGGTCTTTACCTAGCTTGAATATCAATGTGATGTTGGCTTTATAAAATGATTTGGGGAGAGTTCCATCTTTCTCAATCACCTGGAATACTTTCAGAAGAATTGATATCAGCTCCTCCTTAAATGTCTTATAGAATTCTGCTGGAAAGCCAACT